GTATTTTGTTTTTCTAATTTATGTCATGCTGAGAAACAGTGTTTGCATGATCACCTGGGAGTTTTAAGTATTTTATTTATTATTTGGGAGATTTTATAGCCTGCTTTCTTACTGGAATTCCTAAAACAGATTACAAGAAGGATTGGTAGATCTTTGGGTGATCTGCCGCAGGTCAACAAAGGCTTCTGACTCTCACCTGTTTAAAACTAGCAACAGCAGCTTATCCCAGCTAATTTTTTCCACAAGAATTTCATGATGAGGCTACAGAATGCCGGATAAATGCTTAACAGAAAGAAAAATATATCGCCCATTACCACCTCGTAACAATCAAATATGCTCAAGCCTGTACTAACCAACATTCTGAAAGAATTAAAAAGTGTTCTGAGGAAAAGGGAGAAAAATAGAAGCTTCTTTTGTGGGGGAATTTTTGAGAAATTGGCTCATAGGCTTCATCACAGCACTCACTAATGAGGATAACTCCAGAATGATCAACTCTGAGAGAGGCACTTTTGATTTTTTTTACTGGCCGTCATATAGTCCCAGCCTATAGTTTGCTTCCTCTGTCTTGCTTCCTTTGTTTCTCAGTGTGTATTGATTTTTCAGGGGTGTGTGCAGGCACACTGACACATGCACGTGTGGGAGACAGAAATGAATGGTGGCAAAGCTGTCAAATCCAAAGCCCCACAAATTAATCATCCCTATACATTCACAGATCAGGCACAGCGCGTATAACAACAGATCAATTTTCTCTCATACCACCTACCGCTGTGTCTGAATCATGACCTGTAAAGGCTATTTTCAAGGGAGGTGGTATAATTCATTTTCCCATGTTTAGTTCATTGTTAGGCTCTCTGACAAAAAGACAGAAAATTGGTGTGAAGTGTTTATTTAATTAATATTTCTCCACTGTTGCCACCCACCTCTTCCCTTATCCTGAGAGCTCAGAATTGGTGACAAGGCTAAAAAGACTTTGATAAAAAAAACCCTAACAAAATAAAATACTTCTTTAAAACATTATAGTACTCTGTGGATATTCTTTCTTTCTTTTTAATACCATTTGTTTGCTTAACCTTGCTAATTAAAGTGAGTGTAATGTTTAGGCCCTAAACCAAAATGCCTTATATGACATTTGGAAAGTGCTCGGCAAAAGGAACTCAATAGTTCTCAAGGGGAGCCCATATACCCTGCAAAATGAGTAGAAGACACCACAAACTATGGGTTCAATGCATATCCTACTGAAATCAATGGGGACACTGCCATGCTACTGAATGGAATAGGCTATCCCCATGCACAGGTCTGTGCTTGTGAATGTAACCCCTGAACCTAGCATAGCTAATTGCTCTTATGGCCTAGTGATGCTGTGAAATGGGTCCAGCAGACACCATATCCTGCCATCTGTCAGGAGCTGTTGAGCCTGGGGCTAGGAAGCTACTGCTCTGTACACAGCTGCTCCAGGAGTAGGGATGTGAGGAGGCAACAATTCCCTTCATGTCCTATGTCCATCACAATCAACAAATCTAAAAAAATGTAGTATAAACACCGACAACTGGGAAACACTGGCCTGCAAGTGCTCCAGTTGGAGAACAGCCTTTACCAAAGGTGTTGTGGGTTTTGAAGATGCTCAAACTCAGGATGAAAGGGAGAAACACACTAAGAGGAAGGCGTGCTTGGCAAACCCTCACCATGATCAACTCCCGCCTGGAAACCTATGTCCCCACTGTGGAAGGATGTGTGGATCCAGAATTGGACTCCAGAGTCACTTACGGACTCACTTTTAAAATCGTGTTCATGGAAGACAATCTTACTCGGCTACAAGTGATCGCCAAAGAAGACAAAGAAGGAGGAGGAGGAGGAAATCAACACTCATTCTGCTACAGTTTGCCTTCCTCTAAAACCCACTCTGATTTGATTATGGCAGAAATGAACAAAATTAATTAATTTTAATGCATTTCAATGGAAGAGAAATGTCAAACACAATGCAGAAAGTCACCTCAATATAACCTAGCTGCACATACTATTTAAATACAAATAATAAAGTGCAATATTTCTGTAACATCGATTCTACACTGTTCATGACAGCTGGGTAAAGAAAGAAGAAGTAGAACAGAGAGGCTTAATATTTTGAAGTGCATACTTTTCTACAGCTTTAAATCTTGTGTAGGCTGTTACTAAAAGTGAAGTGCAGAGGAAGTGAAATGCAGGAAGTTTGCCATTCTGCCTTTTGCTGTCTTCTCTTGTACATGAAAAAGTACTATTTCGAACTTGCTATATTAGATTTTCAAAAAGTGTATTTGCAAAGAAGTATAACGGCTACCTCAAATTGTTGGGAATATATTTTAATGGTAGTTTTATCCCACACTGACAAGCCAAGTGTAAATATTATTTCCTCCCAGAAAATCTTTGCTATATTTATGGAAAACTCTTATATGCATTCTATACTCAGAGAGCTAGCTCTGTTTAATGGCGTCTCTCCCCCACTACTCCACATACACAAGCTGACTGGACCAGCAGTCAAACCTGACATCAACACTAGCAACAGGGCAGGATCCACTCATCTGAGGGCAGCAGGGCACAGTGGGTGGCACATGCAGCTGTGCCCTCCAACACATCACTCCCCCACACACACATCTGCTACCTGGGGCAGCCACATATAAGTTTGTCAACGAACATTTGGTTGGCAAATATATTTTAAGCTAGACTGCTTCCTCAAATTGGCTTATTAGTGGAGATTTTCTAACTTTTTAAACAAGTGAAACTGGCTTTCTGTCCCCGAGAAGAAATGAAATTGGTTCTCTGTTCTCTGTAAATTAAAATACAGCCAAGCAAAAAATAGCTAGGAACTCATCTGCACATATTTATGCAATCATTAGTATATGTATACTTAAAGCCTTTGATAATAGATATGAACCATCTTTCCCACAATGTCTCCTCCCAGTCACACAGATACACACCATGAAATGGTCTTCCCATTATCATTCTTTTCCACTGCTCAGGTCAGAGGCAGCTACTGCTTGTTAGATTAAAGATTGTTGTTGTTTTTACGTTGGGGGGAAAAAAACCACACCAATTTCTTCCACATTACAAGAGAAACCATGTTAGTTTTCATTAAAAAGATGAACAATTATTTTACACGATTCCATGCAGTAGCTATCACCCACTACACAGCAAAAGTTCTATAATGAACAGTGAAACTCTGAATTTAATTTTGTCTACACCAAACCACCAGATTAAGACATTTGGAACATTCAAACATTCCTAAATCTGAGATACAGTCCTAAAACAAGAGTGCAAGACCAAGACTCACACCAAGAGGACAACCATTACTGGACAAATAACATAAGAGAAACAGTAGGACAACCCCAAAATCACCTACTGTACCTCTCTCTACACAAATAAACACAATGCATGATAAGAGAGACACAGCCTATGTTAGAGAGAATGAGTCTGCTCTCACAGAGAAGCTAGACAAATGATGGCACACAGATAACCCCTCCAAATTAAAACTACTACTTAAAAGCAGTAAGAAGATCATAGCAACATCATACCAAGGTATAAGATCATGCAATATGTCCAACCACTAATTGTGCCCCTTAATCAAAACCATAATATAGTCAGAAAACCTAATAACACCAACCCATAACATTACTACTGAGATGTACCTGGTATCTTCTATATAAAATGTGCAGCAGCAGTACACAGAGCAAAGAAGACTGTATCAAAGAATGACTGCAAATAACCTGATATTTTATAAAATCAAATGTGTTTTTATTTGGGTTTGCCCATATTAGCAAAGAAAACCAAAGCAACAAACACAACAAGGGGGCCGGGGCATCAACCAAGTATTCTATCCCATAGGAACATGGTCAGAAGTAATCTATATTGCATTTTTATTCATGCATTCCAAATTCCAAGGGTACTACAAGCAGCCATTGAAGAAGATCTGCACTGTTAGCATATACAGTGTAATAAATATAACAGTAGTGTAGAAAACATCCAGAGTTTCAATTCCTCGTAGAGAAAGCAAATTATGAGTGATTTCTCTCTCTCTCATATGCTAATATTCCACACATTACCGTGCCAAACTGCAGTGTTCAAACTATGTAGTGGCTTCCATATTTGGGCATTAGCCTATCTCTCAGTAACTAGTAAAAATATTATAAGGTCCCTGGATTTCACTGTTCTGTTTTCACGTTCAAATATAGATAATTAAAAAGTTGTGGAGGACATTGTCAAGGTTCTTGGATAATATCACAGATTTCCATGAAACCTCTCCCCAGAACTGCTTTCCTCGAGGGCACTCCCACCAGAGGCAGCATTTAGTGCCTCCAGCACATCCTGCCAACATGCTGGTCTTATGTTAGCTGTCACATGCAATAATTGTACAGGAGTTCTTGTGCCCATCTATGGCTAATCTTTAAAATGCTAGAACATTAGCAGTGGCAAAGTTTTTATCAGTAGTTGCAAGAACCAATGATTCCTATATTCTGAACAAAATGCTTGTTTAACCTGGAGGTAGGCTGTGTGAATTGTGTATTGCTTTGTAACGATTTGTTGAGTCTCTGGACCGTAATAAAGATTGTTGTTGTTGTTAAAGTGTTTCCCGTCACGTAGTCTGACACTGACCTCACTAGTCTGGAACATCACAGACTTGTCCATTTCACTTGTATCTGTCTCCCAGACGACTTCAAACCCTGCAGTTTCTATAAAGATCTTAGAAATACTTGAGACTAATCCCTTGCTTTTTCAGCCAGCATTAATAAGAGCCTGGCTGCCTGTTTCTGAACGCCTAGATCCTTAAGAAATGTTGCAATTTACATAACTGGAGCCAGTGGCAGAGAGCAGGTGGGGGCGGGGCTGGCGTGCGTCCCGGGGGCGTGGCATGCTGCCCATAGGGGCGTGGCGTGCATCCTGGGGGTGTGGCACACCGCCCGTGGGGGCGTGGCGTGTTGATTTAAAGCAGAGTCTGTCGTGGCCAGCGGAAGGATGAGTAATACATGCTACATACTCTATATTGCTTTATTTACAGTTCAAAGCTGGTATATTACAGAAAGACATCTTGCCTCTGCTGGAGCAGAAAAATGCATCCTCTCTCCTTGTCAGCTCGGAGAGAAACACACAGTGAAAAAAACAGGAAACCAGTGTACGTCACATCCAGTCTCCCTTTCCCGTGAGAAACTCCAACAGTACAGACTGTGGAATGTAAAACAATGTCTTGTGACTGCAGTTGCTGCTCAGTGAGGGAAATAGAAACCAACATCCTCCCCCTTTCTGTGAACATCACTGGGCAGCATGTTCGTACAGTATCAGTACAAACCCAACTTCTGCACATAGGTACAGTGTTGATCCCTTGATACAATCTTGGACAATACATCAGCAGGAATTTCATTACCTGGCATATAGGACACCGTTACGAGTCCCTTCTGAATACATTCCCTAGCATGCTGCAACTTTAATTGCAAGTGCTTTGTGCTTTGCTTACAACCTTCAGACTTCAGCAAAGCCAAACATGCTTTGTTGTCCTGGTAAACCTGGATTGGACATTTGACAGGAATTTTCATATCTTTGCACAATTGTACTAACCATTCACAATCCTTAAGTGAATAAGACAGTGCATTCAGTTCAGCTTCACAAGTACTTCAGCTAACTGTTGTTTGCTTCTTGCATGACCAATCAAACAGACTCTGATTGTACATGTAGCAAACTCCAGACGTACTTTTCCTGTCTGTAGCGTCACTTCCAAAACTTGCATCTGCAAATATCTCAAGACCACCAGACTTCTGATTGTTAAATCTCAGTCTGTAATGCATAGTGCCTTTCAAATACCGCGCTATGCGTTTCAGAGCTTTCCAATCCTTGACACTAGGATTGTTGACTTGTCTGCTTAGCAAATTACAGCTAACAGCAATGTCTGGTCTTGAACATCTGGCAATGAAGTTTAGCTTGCCTAGCACACTCCTGTACAGTGTAGTGTCAGAAAATGCTTCTTCAGTGTCATCTACCTGATAACCTGTTGTCATCGGTGTGTCTACAGGGTTAGCATCCATCAGATTTAGTTTGCTTAACACATCAGCAATTTTCCGTGACTGGTGTACTAGAATGTTACCATCTTGATCTCTCTCTATTTCCAGAGATAGGTAGTTGTTGACCTCACCAAGATCTTTCATGTCAAAGTGCTCTTTCAGTTGAGCTAGGGCGTTATTGTACATTGCGACATCTTTCCAAAAGAATAATAAATCATCAACATAAAACAAACAGTACAGTTTCTTTTGCCCCTCCTCTTTGACAAATACACATGGATCAGCTTTCCCTTGCTGAAAACCTAGAGAAAACAATACTTCAGTGAGTTTTGTGTGCCAACACCGTGCACTTTGTTTGAGACCATAAAGGGATTTCTTCAGAGCACAAACAAATCCCTGTTTTACCTGTACGCCATCAGGTGGAAGCATATAAAGTGATTCATCTAGAGATCCGTACAGAAAAGCTGTATTAATATCATGGTGACTAATGTGTAGATTTTCCTCTGCAGCTAGCTTAAGCATAAGCCTAATGCTTTCATATCTCACTGTGGGTGAATAGGTCTCGTGATAGTCTTCACCTGGTACCTGTGCAAAACCTCTGGCTACCAATCTGGCTTTGTGTCTGACTATCTTGCCATTTTGATCTGTCTTCGCTTTGAAGACCCATTTGCTTCCAAGCAGTTTCATTCCTGGAACTACTGGAACTAGCTCCCATGTTTTGTTCCTTTCTAAGGAATCAAGCTCAGCCTTCATGGCATTTAACCATGGCTCAGCTTCCTTTGAATCCAAACCCTGGATTTCTTGGAAACTTGAAGGTTCAAATACCTTCTTGGAGCTTTTAACAGCTGTTACTGCTATCTTAGCAAACTCATCAGCAAATCTCTTTGGAGGTTTGCCTTTTGTGGCTCTCTGTGACCTACGAATTAGCCTTAAGTCTTCAACACTCTCCTCTTCCTTCTTAGGAGAAAAACGACCTATTGTGAACAATGGTTCCTCCAATTCTTGATCAGAGCTTTCAGAGGGTCGCATAGAGGCTTTCGCACTCTTGAAATCCTCTGAATCACCCGATTCAGTTTCAGATTCAGACTCAGAACCTTCATCAGTGGGTGTGGGCTGTTGTGGTTGCTTTTGACTATCCTCAGTCTCATCACCGTCATCAGGATAACATTGGAAAATTCCCACATTCTCCCCCACTTTGCATTGTACTCGACACTTCTCGTGAGCTTAATTGTCTTAGAGTCAGTCATCATTATTCTGTAAGACCCTTTCTGATAACCTAGAAAGATACCATGCAATCCACGCTTGTCTAACTTGGAGTTTTGTGGTGAGTGAACCCACATGTCAGAACCAAAAATCTTCATGTGTTTGATGTATGGCTTCTTGCCAAACATCTTCTCATAGGAGTACAACCAATCGCTGAAGATAGCCTGCGATTGTAACTGTAAACAAAACACGAGAGAGATTCGGCCCAATAACTCTCTGGAAGATTGGCATCATGCAGCAAGGTTTTTAACCCTTGAAGCAAAGTCTGATTTGCCCGTTCCGCAAGTCCATTCTGCCATGGCGAGCGAGGACTAGACAAATCGTGTTGAATTCCTTTCTCAGTCAGAAAAGCTTCAAACTGCTGAGAAGTGAATTCCCCCCCGCGATCACTGAAAAGAGTCTTTATCTTCTTACCATGCACATTTTCCAACCAAGCACAGAATTCCTTGAACCTAGGAAAAGCCTCCGATTTCTGCTTGAGATTGTACACAAAAATATATCTAGAAAATGCATCAATGAGAACCATGAAGTATCTATTTCCACCCAAAGAGGGCGCTAGTGGTCCAACCAAATCAGCATGAACAACCTGGTATGGTTCTGTAGCTTTCCTACTAGACACCTTACCTTTCGCAGCCATTTTCACCTTGTTTGCTGCGCATGCTTTGCACTTCATGTGGTACCTGCAGGGTTTAATAGTCATACCTTCAACCAAGGCAGGCATTTTAGATACTGCCTCAAAATGCAAATGACCAAATTTGCGATGAAAATCGTGAATACATTCTGCATGCAAACTTTTGTTAGAACCTGCAATGCAACAAGTGTCATCCTGCACCACATCATCATAATACAAAACAAACAAATGATCAACATATTCTGCATGCAATACATAATCATTTTCTTTGTGATGATGCACTTCTTGTTCTTGAAGGAAACGTCAATGTTCCGCTCATTCAGCTGTCCAACGCTGAGCAGATTATGTTTGGCGTCTGGCACGTAAAGCACATTCTGTATCGATAAGTCCAAACTGTGAAGAACAACAGTTCCGTAGCCTTTACTGGGAATAGTGTGGTCATCCGCCTGGTGAATCGCACCTTCCTGCGGTGTAAAAGACACAAACAGTTTCTTATCGTTGCACATGTGGTGGGTGGCCGCTGAATCAACAACGAAGAAAGATCTAGACGTCTTCTGGACCTCTGCAACCTTTGGAGTGAAGCGTGAAACCATAGCCTTGTGCTGCGTTGTCCTAGACACCGGACCTTTGCCTTTGCCTCGGCCTTTTCCGCGCGATGAGCTTTCGCTGCGCTGCTCTGTCTTGGCCCTGGGATGTCTGCATTCCCTCTTCATATGGCCTAGACGTCCACACGAGTAGCATTTCACTGCCTTCAAAGCTTTGGCGCCATCTGGTGGTTCCACTGCACTATGGGATGACGTCTGTGAAGACTCTCCCTTGCCCATGCAGCTAGCACCCCGGCGATCTGCTTCATTTAAAATCACGGCAGTAACAAAGTCCACTGTCAGCTGAGCAGTTGGTTGCACAGCAATCTGGGTTGCAACAGACTCCCAACCTGAACCCAAAGATTGTAGTATCATGAAAGAATACACAGCCTCTGGAAAGTTGAGTCCTCTCTGTTGCAGCTCATGTCTCAGATTTTGCATCTCCATTAGATGTAAACGCACATCTCCACCTTCAGCAAGAGCCATATTATGCAGCTTGTTAAAATAAAACATAGTGGATCCAGCTTCTGTCCTTAAGTGAGCCTCTCTCAGAGCGTCCCAAATTTCTCTGGCTGAGGTCTTATCACGCAATAGACAGAGCTCTTCTGGGGATACTATCAATGTAAGAGTTCCCCTTGCTTTGGAATCCTTAGCTTCCCATGCATCTGTAACTGGAACTGGGGGGGTTTCTGTAATCACCTCAAACAAACCCTCTTTCCGCAGAATTGCCTCTGCATACTGAACCCAGTCGCTGTAATTTTTCTTGTTGAGCTTAGGAATCCCACAAGCATCCTGAAGGGCCATCATGACTCTGGCATTAGCCTTCAGCGTCATATGCTGCTTTAAATCTTGCTGCGTCACTGCTGCAGCTGCTTCATTACAAAGGCACACTTAAAAGTTACTTTCGATTTCCCCAGCATAGTGACTTGTGCCTGGGAGCCTTTTGCCTATTCCCGGCAAAACCGGCTTTAAAAGTTCAAAGTCCAGCCATAAAGCCATTAACTTGAAGCTGGCAGGCTGCCCGGAGCAGTAGCACATACCTCATCAATCACTTCTACGCGCAGAGCAGATTCCTTTCCGATCCGTCCCTCTGCATTCCGATCCTTTGCCGGCACTCCGATTCGACCTCTGGAGCCCATAACCACGTGTTGATTTAAAGCAGAGTCTGTCGTGGCCAGCGGAAGGATGAGTAATACGTGCTACATACTCTATATTGCTTTATTTACAGTTCAAAGCTGGTATATTACAGAAAGACATCTTGCCTCTGCCGGAGCAGAAAAATGCATCCTCTCTCCTCGTCAGCTCGGATATAATCACACAGTGAAAAAACAGGAAACCAGTGTACGTCACATCCAGTCTCCCTTTCCCGTGAGAAACTCCAACAGTACAGACTGTGGAATGTAAAACAATGTCTTGTGACTGCAGTTGCTGCTCAGTGAGGGAAATAGAAACCAACATGGCGTGCATCCTGGGGGTGTGGTGTGCCACCCGTAGGGGCGTGGTGCCCAGCGCAGGCGGGGGGGAGCCACAATGGCACCCCACTGGGATCACACTACCACCGGCAGTGCACTCCCCCCGCACGCCTCTTCATCCGCCAATGACTGAAGCCATTGCATATTTAAGTTTCCAATCGCTCTCTCTTTCTCTCTCTCTCTCTGCTTCTGAATGAACATTTTGGCTTCCCTGGACACTCCATCAAACCCCCTTGGAGTTTAAATTCTGATAGATTTAAGGAGTGCGAGGCGGCAGAATATAAATTTATTCAACAATAGGACTGTATCTGTCAGGGGCTAAACAGTGAGTTCGGTTTCTTCTCAAATCATAAACATAAAGAGGATTCCTGATGTTATACCCTGAATTTTTCAATATACAGTTCATAGTATCGGTGACTGTCCCTTTAAAGACCGAGGACATCTCATTTCTCTGATTTGCAATCTGCAGTTGCTCAGCTCTAGCATCTGATGAAGCAGTCATCTGCAAAAGCTGGTGCTCTTTCAGTGAAACCATTCTGTTCAGTCTTAAAAGTGCAAATGGACTCTTAATTTCTCTTTCTACGTTGCAATGAGCAGCTGCATTTTTCAAACCGCTGCTGTTCCTGCTGAATTCTCCATTATGCCCAGTATATTACAGGACAAGGGCAGACACTGTTTGGGAGCTCTGCTCAAGTCTACTTGTCCCCTGGTCCTTTTGCATGCAGGACATTTGTAAAGAGGTGTGGCTGGAACTGTCAGGCACTCGATAACTCTGCCTCTAGGCAATGTCCTATAGAAGCTGTTGAAGCATGACATGTCAGGTTATTCTGCCCTGTACCTTGGGCCTAAAAGGCTCCCAGGTCTCAGAGCTCCTGAATAAGGAGCAGAAGTCAATCATACATGACGGAAACTGACACTTTCAGAGAAGCTGGGACTAGCGTGCATAATCAGACGGCTTCCCTGTGCGTTTTCAAAATTCCTACTGGGGAAAAATTTATTTGTCCCCTAAACACAGTTAAAGTTTCCTAGCAACTCTGTTGCAACCAGTATTTCTGCCTCAAAAGGTTTGTTCACTCTGCAGAGTGAAATTGACAGAAATCTTATTTGGTGGGTGTGAGAAGACATGAACTTCTCGCAGTGAGGGGCACACCAGAAGGCCCAATAAGACAGTCTTTGGAACAAGAAAGAATCTGAAGTGGCCACAGTCTCAACAATGGTAGGCAACACAAAGAGTGCGCAAGCACAAATATTAGGTGAAGTAAGTCATGATGAGATCATAGAATCATAGAATCATAGAGTTGGAAGAGACCACAAGGGCCATCGAGTCCAACCCCCTGCCAAGCAGGAAACACCATCAGAGCACTCCTGACATATGGTTGTCAAGCCTCTGCTTAAAGACCTCCAAAGAAGGAGACTCCACCACACTCCTTTGGCAGCAAATTCCACTGTTGAGATGGTACCTTCATAACTCATGCATTAACTGCAGTTCAGAGGAAAGAAAAATATTATCTTGGCTAAGCGCACTTAGAGGGCTATAAAGGAGAAAAGGTGCTCTTTGACTAGACCATGAAAAATTGGAGAAGAGACTGATTAGCCCAAGATGCATAGATTCTGGTTCAAGGCCCCAAAGCAAAGATATCATAAAAGTATGTCATACGTTGCTGTAATGTAGTGTAAGCAATGAATACACAAGAAGGGCAGAGAAGAAAGAAATGCAACTACAACACTATGATGCAACAGAAAAAGGTAGGATAAGCCAGAAGAGGAAGCAGCGCTATTTTCCAAGTTGTTTAAGGTGCATGATTCAAAGTTTTATCTAAAACCTTTGAACTGTATGAGAAGGTAAATGATTGTTGGACAATGCATCCGGGCTTATAAATAACCCTTATGCTATTTGGCATGTGTTCCTTACAGGTAATTTTAATTGCTTTCAATAAGAATAAAATCACCACAGAGCGTAACTTCCAGAAATCAACTTTATACTTGGCCATGTCCAATCCAGGTTGAAACTTCTGTTGACATTCAGCTCGCTGGATGCTTAAACTCATGGCATGATTATGGGACTATGTAAGCGGGGTTTGCAAATCAGCTGTTACATTCAGAAAGATAAATTCAAAGAAGTGAAAACAGGAAAATGAATGTGCCTAATACAATATAACTACACTCCTTTCGGAGGAGCCCAGATATTTCTGCAAGTGGCAAAATTTTGCCCATTCATTTAAAAATTAGAGGAAATTTTGAAATACGGTTCCGCAGAACAGGTCACTTAAATTCCAGATTCTCTCCTGCCCCAATATTTTATTATTAATAATTAATATTAATTATATTAATAATGGAGCACAAAGAGGCTGTAGGCAGGTCTTTCAGTGTGGATGAGACTTGGCAATATGGTGAGAAAAAGGGCAAGAAACAAAACTTCTTGTTGCTTCTCTGAGAGATTTGGAGAAACTCTTTTCCCCATATATGAAATTCCTAGCATTCACTTGTTGTATTCCACTGCTGCTGATACACGCCAAAACAGATTTCAAGATTGCACATAAAGGCATAACTGGGAACCCATAGAATGCCCCTTTTGAAAGTTGTTTGCCATGCAGGGTTAAAAATAAACATTTTTATGAGATTTTCAAAGTACAGTTTCGCCTGTGATACCAAAGTTTATGTGAGATCAGAGTCCAGGCCCATCGAGATGCAGCTGTCATTTGAAACTACACCCACAGTGCACAACCATTCAAGGTTGCCTCCACACAGATTGTGCTGTAGGCTGAACCTGAATTTCATTACCTTTGAACCATGATCAAACTGCTATACTTGCAGGCTGTAGTCCTGCCTAATTATACATAAACTAATCCCAGTGATTACAGGCAGAATTATACATATGAAAGTGTGTGTGAGAGGTTGTAACCATGGTAGCGTAATAGGTAATCTCTGTGTAAATTACAATGCTCTTTGGCTAAAGAGTATTACTCTTTCCCATGGCTCTTGATACATAAAAAGAGCAAAGGACATGTTCATCATTGCATTTCTGACAGGTTGACAGCTCCTTGGCATCATCTGCACCTCTATTCCCAATTGACTTCTCCAGACAAGACTCTCTGTGTTGATTGATAACCCTATTCAAAGTTTGTGCTCTGTTTACTTTTAGCTGTGAGATTTAAAACGCTCTCATTTATAAAATTGTAGAGTTGGACAGGACATTCAGGATCATCTAGTCCAACCCCCTGCAATGCAGGAATCTTAACTAAAGCATCCATGACAAGTGGCCATCCAACCTCTGCATAAAAAAACCTGTAAGAAAGGAGAGTTCACCACCTATCGAGGGAATCCATTCCATTGTCAACCAGCTCTTACTGTCAGAAAGTTCTTGCATATATTTAGTCACAATCTTCTTTCTTGTGACTTGAAGCCATTGGTTCAGGTTCTACCCTCCACAGCAGAAAAAGACATCCTCCATGTGACAGCTTGCTTCATCCTTCATGTGACAGTCCTTTACATATTTGAAGATGGCTATTATATCTCCTCTCAGTCTCCTCTTTCCCAGGCTAAACATACCCAGCTTCCTCAACTGTTCCTCATAAGGCTTGGTTTCCAGACCCTTAATCATCCTAGTTGCCCTCATCTGCAAACATTTGTTTTCTCCTGCTCTGGAGAGTAGGAACTGAACCAATGGCTTAGGTGTCATGGATGCTTGAGTTGAAATTCTTGCATAGCAAGGGATTGGACTAGATGACCCTCAGGATGCCTTCCAACTCTACAATTCTATGATTTCATGATTCTATTATTTCCCTTAGTTCCATTTCTTATAAATGCCCTTCTTAAATTTTAGCTCATCTGTAAGCTCCTTACACAGCCTCACTAGTTTCTTTAGATGCCTCCCACTTTTCTTTCTTGTTGGAATTGTCTGTATTTGTGCCTTCAATATTTCACCTTTAAGAAACTCCCATCCATCTTGGACTCCCTTCTCTTTGAGTAATTCTCACCATGGGATCTCACTCAGTAGCTCCTTGAGATTTATGAAATCAGCCTTCTAAAAGCCCAACGTACATATCTGACTGCATTCAGCTTTCCCTTGCCTCTTTATAATGAAACTCAAGTGGACATGATCACTTCCTCCCAAGGGTCCAAGGACTTCCACTTAATCGATCAGTTCCTCCTTGTTGATGAAGACCAGGTCCAACACAGAGGTCTGTGTCTTTTTGCTTAGTACTTTTTATTTCTTTTGGGACTTCCTGTGAAGTTCTTGCGTTCGTCCTTGAATCAGAGTCTCTGCTGCCTCACCAGTGCTCCTAAAGCAGGGAAGGTCCACCTCTGAACTTCTCAGATATCTCTACCAAGGTCCGTTGCAAGGTGAAAGCCAATACGTGTCTATTTCCCTCCCTCCCACACTTCTCTAAGATGCCACAGGGTTTCATTCCCACCTCCAAGAGAAGCTGAAAAAGTAAATGCCCCAGTGGTGGACTTTGGGCTCTAAAATTTCAGCCGTGCCCTGTGTGATGCTAAAATTCAGTGCCGTCTGCCCCTCACACTCTGTTCTATAGCATTGTTGTGGTGCTCCCTGCAGTGCAGTGTTCAGTGCAGCCAAACCAGTTCTGCTACCCTAAAACTCCCCCTGGATACCCATAGATTCTTGTTCCCAAGCTGAATTGCTACCTCTTCCTTCAGTTCAATTACAGAGGAAAAAGTTAATTTTGCAAAATAATAATAATAAATCAAAACCTCAGCACATAATCAGCTACACACACAATGAAGACATTGGCCTAGTAAATATCTTGTTTTAAAGTGAAAAAGATTAACAAACATATATATGTGTGTGTGTTTGTGTGTGTGTATTTATATACATCACAGAATCTTTATCTGCCAGATGTTCACATTTTAATTCTGTCATAATTCATGCTGGCAAATGATACATGCTAGCTATATTGTTAGTATTTTGTTTTAGCCACTTGAGCATCTTGCAATAATAAACGTATAAATGTTCTGTACAATCAAA